CCCCAGAGACAAATAAGCACAATTTCAAAATCCAGCCTCCTACTCTGATTTCAAACATAATAAGTTAACTTTGCTTGTTCTTGAATGAAATGAGCTGATAAAAGTGTATGCTTATGTCTGGCTTATTTGCCCAAGATGCTAACAATAAAATGCATCATATTTTGTATATGATATTAACTTCATGTCTTTTCAACCTGAGTATAGCCAGAAATTGTTCCGCCTCTAATGAGGTTTTATTTTCTGCAATTTCATCACCTGAAATCAACCACAGCCAAAACTATTACCTGTAATTATATATATGGGGAGCTACGGGGTGGAGAGAACATATTCACATAACTTTGATTACAGTGTATTGTTATAATTGTTCCATTTTGTTAGTTAATTTTGTTAATCTCTTACAGTACCTACTTTACAAATGAAACTTTAGGCATGTATGTACAGGAGACAAACAGTATTCTATAGGGTTTGATACCATCTGTGGTTTTGTGTATTACACTGGGGATATTTGAGGGTAATCATCACAGGTAAAGGGGGCTACCATAGTATTGTTGCGTATGACTATTCCACTTTATTCATTCTACTGATGCTGGATTGGATGGCTCTTTCTACTTTCTTCCTTATAAATTTATAATGAGCCATCTAAATTTGATTTTTACTGTAATTAGCCTCATTTCTCTCAGGTACCCTTTAGAAGTTGCATACTGAATCATAAAGCAGGCACAGCCCTAGCTTTGGCAGATAATTTCAAGTCGTTTTTAAGGTGAGTGCACCTTGCTTAATGTCTCCTGTGAGAGGATTCACCAGAGACAGAGTGGAAGCAGAACAGGCAGATCTACTGAAATACACTGCCGAGGAGAGGCTGCTACATCATGTGAGTCACCTCTGTGGCTGGACATCAGAGATAGAGCTCATGGTTCAGTGGCTGCAGATAGCTTCATAGTGCTGAGACTTAACCCTTTGCACCATCAGGGAAGCCCTGTGTTGGTGTTTTTAAGCAATGTTTTAATATCAAGATAGCTATTTCTGCATAAGAGAGGAAGTGATTTTTTTAAAAAAAGATTGACTTATTTGTGCATACAGAGCTGGGGTACAGGCCAGAGGCTCAAGGGCGGCGAGAGGCTTCACCAGAGACAAGAGTGGGAAGCAGAACAGGCAGATCGACGAAGTACGCTGCTGAGGGGAGCAGCGGGCAGGTCAGGAAAGGTCTGCCACGCCTTGTGGTCTCCTCTGGGGTAGGGGGGAATCGAACTCATGCAGAAGCGGTCCTAGCTTCTCATGCTGTGCTTTAACCCGCTGCGCCGCCAGGGAGGGCCGGAAGTGAATTTATAGTGAGACAAATCTGTGGGCAAGAATTGCATCTAGTATTGATTTCATATGTAAATACTGTTGACCAAGTTAGGGAAAAGCAACCAAGTCACCTAGCCTGTTCTATTTGCTCTAAGTCACTTCCATTGCTAATGCCATCTACAGGAGACCAGCAACTTGGATTACTTTCCACTGCTTTCTGGCCTCACACAAGTTACCATCTTGCCTCCAGTGTTTACTCTTAACCCTAACAGGTATTTAACGCTCCCCTGGTGCTATGGACTGTATCTTAGCACCAGAGACAAAGCCCCAGAGGTGTTCTTTTACAAGCTTGGTTTTGCCTCACTGCCTAAGTCAATAAGGGTGGTCGAGTCTCTAACTTACTTAGAGAGGGTCAGATGATAATGATAACAGTAACCAGGAAGCTTTCTGGCTGCAAAATATTTGAGTCCTTCCAATCTAAAATCCCGAGTCCTTCTGGTCTCAGTAGCCATGGGCCTTGGTTTTGTCTATCATGATCTTACCTTACTCTTTGCAGATCAAGCTAAGGATCTGCTGTTCTTGTCATGACTACACACAGGCTTCAGTCTACTCAGTCATTCACTTACCAGCTAGAGACTTCCTAGAGGGAAGTGCAGCTGAGCTCTGACCCATCAATTTGCTTCTATTTCTTCCCCTGCAGGAATCGGATTCTGTTTTTTAAAAAGTTTTATTTATTTATGCATACAAGAACTGGGGTACAGGTCAGAGGAGCAGGGGCGGTGAGAAGATTCACCAGAGGCAGAGTGGGGAGCAGAACAGGAGCATCTACTAAAATACACTGCTGAGGGGAGGAACGGGTGAGACAGGAGAGGTCTGCTGTGCCATGTGGGTCACCTCCCTGATGGGGATTGGACTTGTGCTGCAGTGGCTGTGGACACATTCATAGTGCTGAGAGAACCCCTAGTAACCCCCTGGACTTGAATTCTTGATGCGACATTCCCCAACTCATCCACCTTTGCGTCCTCAGCTCTGACACAGTGCCTGGCATATCACTGAGAAACTACTTGTGAAATGGGTGGATGAGAAATCAAGGGACAATTTGTTCAGCGTGGCAAATTCCAGTTTTGTGTTTTTTTTTTACTATGAGGCAAGCGTATAATGACAGCTTTACAGTACTATGACAATTACCCACAGAAATAATATAGCCATGGATGTGGATAAAGCAGGAGCTGATGAAACATGCTGGCGGCTTAGTGGTTAATACAGTGTGTGTGATCCCTCCACTTCCTCCCTCAGGTTTACAGGAAGGCTCTAGCCATCGCCTTGTGCAGGCTGAAGTGAAGGCAATACATTTCTGAGTATCGATTGTAATATAATCCCTGTACATCCTTTCAGACTGAACTGTAATCCTCAAACCCACTTCTCAACACAGCATCCTGGTTCTAACTGCGGCAGCTGTGACGAGGCAAAGGCTGTCTGAGAGATTCGCTCTGCTGGAAGCTTCAACAGATGTGCTTCCTGCTCCCCTAGAGCTACCCCAGCTCACACAGCTGAGCTGCTACAGCCTGCAGGGAAGCAGCGGCAGTGCTCACAGCCCCACGTTAACTGGAGTTAATGACACCCCCAGGCTCCGCAATTCTCCCAGCAGCAGCGTCCTGGGTAGTTCTAATGCTCAGGTGTAAATCTTGGAAGATTAATCTCTCCATCTCTTGTCTCTCTCAGCACATTTAGTACCAAGCAGAGTCTTGCTCAAATGTAATGATGCAAGGACTTGATGGGACCCTTCAGGAGCTCCTGTATGTCAGGATTTCCTGTGACAAACACTTGCTTATGCAGCTCTGTGATGAGCCTGCAACTGCTCTGGAATTGTCTAGGGCTTACCCATGGCATTTAGGGTAGCTGGGTTTCTCTGCTGATCCCAGCTGCCTGTGTGCTGCACTGTTAGACTCACGGCCCATGACACCCCAATGTTCCAGAATAGCAGGTATTGCCGTGTCAATCTGGAGGGGGCAACCAACCATGGCAGGTGCTCTGCTGCTTTCTTAACAACTTCATCAAGACCCCAGGTCAAATTGTTACAAATGAAAAAGTAGAAGGTCAAAAATTCAAGTGGCTTACCTAGCCACAGCATTGGTAAGTTAGAGACTTTCATAGAATCTCCTACCCAAAGATTTCGAAATGTGTTAGATTGCACTACATTGTCTTCCTCTGGGATAATAGTGGGATAATAGTGCCTAGCCATCTATCTGCAAGGCTGCCTAGAAAGTTATGGGGGGTAAAGGATCTTTTTTTAAAAATAGCATTCATGGATTACACTCTGGGTAACAATGTTTTATATGTCTTGGGAATAAAAAGCCATGGAAGTCCTATATAAATGTGATGGTAGGGCCCTCCCTGGTGACACAACGGTTTAGGACGCAGAACTGCAAGCTGGCTGCAGCTGCTTCAGTGCGAGTTCGATCCCCAGCCCCGGACCCACATGGCGTAGCAGACCTCTCCTAACCTGTCCGCTGCTCCCCTCAGCAGTGTACTTCGTTGATCTGCCTGTTCTGCTCCCCACGCTGTCTCTGGTGATCCTCTCATCGCCCCTGCACCTCTGGCCTGTGCCCAGTTCTGTATTTAGAAAAAATGTAATGGTAATTATATTTTTTAAAGATATTTTTATTTATTTATTTATGCATACAAGAGCTGTAGGCCATAGGTGTGGAAGGATAAGAGGAATCACCAGAGGCAATGGGGAGTAGAACAGGCATCTGGACTGAATTACACTGATGAGTGGAGTCCTAGGTGGGACAGGAGAGGTCTGCTTTGCCATGTGGATTAGTTCCCTGGCCAGGGATCGAATTCGTGCTGTAGTGACTGCTGATAGCTATATAGTGCTGAGTTTTAATCTCTTGCACCACCAGAGAGGCCTGGTAACTATAATTATTGATTGCTTGGAGAATTTCCTTGAAGAGTAAATGTCAATTTTTTCCAAAAAATGATTTTACTTTATTTTTAAAAATTTATTTGTGCCTAAAAGAACTGGGGTGTGGACCAGAGATTTGTGGGGGAGTTGAGAGAATTTACCAGAGACAGAGTGGGGAGCAGAACAGATGGCTCTATTGAAGTACTCTGCTGAGGGACACAAAGGGGAAGGCAAGAGAGGTCTGCTGCGCCATGTGGGTCATCTCCCTGGCTGGGGATCAAACTCGTGTTGCAGTGGCTGATGATAGCTTCATAGCACTGAGACTTAACTTCAGCGCCACCAGGGAGGCTCTGTGAAGGTCAATTTTAATCTAAAACATGAATGGATGTGTGTGTGATATGCATGTGTGCCTGCATGTTTACTGAATTCTTGGGTGTGCCTGGATTTAGATGGCTCCCCAGTCCCCGCAGGCTCAAATTTTCTCTTTCTCACACACAGTTTGATGGGCTTTAAAGAACCAAAGCTTCCCTGGTGGCATAGGAGTTCAGGACATAGTTCTATCAAGCTATGGGTAGTGACTGCATCACAAGTTTGATCCCCAGCCAGGGAGCTGACCTGCATGACACAGTAGATCTCTCTTGTCTTGTCCACTGCTCCCCTTAGCAGTGTATTTCAGTCAGTCTGCCTGTTCTGGTGAATCCTCTCAACCCCACACCTCTGGTTTACACTCCAGTAAACATAAATCAATAAATCTTAAAAAAAAAAAAAAATCACAGTTACCAACTTGCTTCCCGCTCTTTCCTAGGCATCAACAACAACAGACTCGGTGTGTGTGGCTGGATCTTGTTCTCCCTTTCTTTACTATTGATGATCATTACCTTCCCTGTCTCCATATGGATGTGCTTAAAGGTAATGCCGGGGGAAATAAATTGGGTTCCCTTTACGAGCTGATGGACCATTAAGACTAAGTGCTCTCCCTTAATCTCTTAGATCATTAAGGAGTATGAACGTGCTGTTGTATTCCGACTGGGACGCATCCAAGCCGACAAAGCCAAAGGGCCAGGTATGACACTGTGGTGCCCCTGCATAGACCGTGGGCACCTCTTACTGCTGCTGCTACTATTACTACTACTACTGCCGCTGCTACCACCACCAATACTATTACTGCCCCCAGTAATTTCTTTCCCTGGATGTACCTAATGAGAGGCAGAGAAAACTCACAGGAGCCTGAAGGCCCTGCCTTCCTGTGCAACTGGAGTTAATGCCATTGTATTACTCCTTTCATCATGTGTAGTATTTTATTTCCATCATTCTCTAGAAACCCAGAAGGAAACATGTTCCAAACTCTTGATGTGATTAAAAAGATTGAATTTGGGGGGTGGGAATGAGGAGGAGGGTATCAGGCACTGAAATTTCATAGAAATGTGATGTTAATCTAATAGTCATAACTCCTTTCAGTGGATGTTTCTTTAACTATATGACATTACCAATACATGTTTTTGTCTCATAAAAAGGCACTTTCGTATGGTTAAGTCGTAACATCCTTGAAAGAAGAGACTAAAACAACATCGTAGAAGACACATGAAAAACATGGTTATTAGCATACTTCTCTAATAACATTTGTTTTCTGTCTTCTATTATGATGTATTTGAGTAAAATCATTCTCTAATTAGACAGCAAGAACATTGATTTGCTGTAATATTCTGCGTGCTCTGCACTATGTCATCCACCATGATAGGCGTCCAGATGTCTTTACATGATATATAAATACATATTATATATCAGTACACACACATAAATATACAAATATGGTGTATAAATATACATTTTCTCCTTATTTTCACACATAAATATACAAATATTTATACAACATATTTGTGTATTTATGTGTGAAAATAAGGAGAAAAATGTTAAGGAGTCTTGGCCATTTCAGGAAGGATAACCCTACTTGTCTAGTATATAAAGGACCTAAAAGAAAAAAGGCAAGAATTTCTTATTCTCAATTCCCTGAGTGTGTTAAAATGAGGTGTGAAGCTCATCCAACTGAAGGATTATGGAACCAGACTAACCCCTCTTCAATTATGTGCATCTGGTGGGTTTTGAGTAGGATTTGAGAGAGGCAGAGAACCCTGGAGGCTCTGGAGAAAAGTGTACCTCTTTTAAACGAATTTCCCCAGAAGATTTCACTACTAAATGTCCCAAGATAATTATTCTCGTCATACTAGTCTCTGGGGCTAATAAGTTACCTCAGAATGTTATAAGAGCCAGAGGGAAACAAGCCAAATTGCTAATGGAAACTACTTCACTTTTGTAAATTAGCCTTTAATAATAAAAATATTAATAATAAGAGCTGTCAGTTCCTCAGCATTAATGCATAACTGACATTGAGTTTAGTACTTTATTTCATTAAAATGTTGAATCATGCTTAATCTTCACTAACATCATATATCTATTAGATAACATAAAGCTAAGAAAAGTTAGGTGTTATGTTTCCAGCTCACCAGCTAGTAAGCTGTAGAGCTGAGATTTGACTCTCTCTAGTGCTGAGGACTGTGATCTTAACCAGTTACCTGACAATAATAAAGGAAGTAAAGTAGGCAGTAATTGTCAGCAAAAGTCTGGGGAAGCCTTCTGTTACAGACCCCAAAACAGAAAACACCTTGTCAAAATTTTCTGTTGGTAACTCCAGTCCTTTCCAAGGTACTCAACTTAAAAATTTGTTTCTTGTTTAAAAACAAAAAAAAAAACCCATCTTCCTGTTAATGGAAATTCTTTGGTGTCTTTATCTTGTTGACCTGCCTGATGGTTTTAATCTTTGTAATACTTGCTGTAAAGACTTCATCAGAACAATCCTAAAGAGTTATAGGATCCTCAAATAAGTTACCTTATCTAAATTCTTCCCCTCCTCAGCCCAACCCAAATGCTATAGAATTCAGAGGCAAAAGTGCTTACCATTGGGGATGCCAGTATATTTGCACCAGAATACAGCGATGGAGAGACTGTAAATTCTGCCATACGCTGGTTTCAGGGGCTCTGAAATTATAGGGAGATTTCAATTCGAGGATTCACCAGAGGCAGAGTGGGGAGCAGTAAAGGCAGATTACCAAAGTACACTGCTGAGGGGAGCAGCAGGCGGGTCAGGAGAGGTCTGGATCTCCTCCAGGGCAGGCAGGGATGGAACTCATGCGCAAGTGGCTTAAGCTTCTTAGTGCTGTGCTTTAACCCGCTGCACCACCAGGGAGGGCATCAATTCTAACATTCTTATGAATGAAGATGAGTGAAAAATTTGATAAGTACTATACTCATAGTAAGAGGTCTTTATTTAAATCTCATATACAGATACCTTTAAAACAGAAAAAACTGATTTCCAAAATAATCTTTTAAATTAATGCCATATCCAACACTTGGATAGAAGTAGTTTGAGTATTTAAAAAATAAAATCTAAAAATTAAATGTCAAGGTTCTTTAACTTCACAACAAGTGATTTCTGTTCCTAGGGTACCACTTTTATTAATCATTGATTGGAGAAATAATTGTTTCCAAGATTATAGTTGTACATAGTGAAGATCATCTGAGAAGTATTTATAGTCCCATAAAATGATGTATCATTTAGCTAAGAGCTAATTTGTTGTAATTATTTTCAATGGGGTGAACATTTAAACTGTGTTTTCTTTTTCATAGGTTTAATCTTGGTCCTGCCCTGCATAGATGTGTTTGTCAAAGTTGATCTTCGAACTGTTACTTGCAATATTCCTCCACAAGAGGTAATGTTGGCTACAGACATTTTACTGGAAATAAATAAAACTTATATATTTCCTATTATGGATAGCTGAAAAAAAATTTTTTAAGGATTTATTTATATATACAGAACTGGGGTACAGGCTGAAGGTGCAGGAGTGAGAGGATTCACCAGAGACAGAGTGGGGAGCAGAACAGGCAGATGGACTGAAATACACTACTGAGGGGAGCAGTAGGCAGGACAGGAGAGGTCTGCTGTGCCATGTGGGTCAGCCACCTGACCAGGGATCAAACTCATGCTGCAGTGGCTGTGATAGCTTCATAGTACTTATTTAGTCCATTGCACCAGCAGGGAGGACCCTGGATAGTTGAAATTTTATAGGATTTTTTTTTTAAAGATTTATTTTATTTGTACATACAGAACTGGGGTACAGGCCAGAGGCTCAGGGGTGGCGAGAGGCTTCACCAGAGACAGAGTGGGGAGCAGAACAGGCAGATCGACAAAGTACATTGCTGAGGGGAGCAGCGGGCGGGTCAGGAGAGGTTTGCCACGCCATGTGGTCACCTCCGGGGCAGGCGGGAATCGAACTCATGCGGAAGTGGCTTTAGCTTTTCAGTGCAGTGCTTTAACCCGCTGCGCCACCAGGGAGGGCCAGGATGTTTTTTAATATAAGAGGGAGAGTGAACTGAATTCCCACAGAGGTCTGTTTGAAAGACTCTAGGTGACTTCTGGAGTCTTGTCTTATCAAATGTGAGTGAAGCCAAGGGTAAGGGTTCAATTGTTACAAGAACAATTAGTGACTGGGCAGGATAAAGCCTGAGAGAAGAGATCCAGTTGGCAGAATAACTGGAACAGAGAACAGCAGAGCAGATCTTGGAGAGCTGAGCGTAATTTAGTGGCGGACAAGTGTTTGCCGGTTATGGATTCTAGTGATAAATTCTTCCTCACCATCCCCTCAGAAGATTTCTTTTTGTAATATTTGTATCACTCCATTGTTCAACTTGAGTGTGTGTGCGCACGTGCAGCAAAGTAGGGTGGGCAGGCACTACCCACAATGCCCTGTATTTGGATTGCAAGCGATTCTTTTCATTTCTTAAAATACTGCAAATAAATGACTCAAAACAGAACTGGGCAATAAAAGGGTTAGAAACAGAGTTAATAATAATCACGTCACATTCTGACAACAATAGTGACCCCGGAAGAGGAAAGAAAAATGTACGTAGGACCCCTATGGGGAACACAAAGGTGATTACACAGAAAATCAGCACTTCTGAGTAAATGTTCATATTCTCTCTGGACCAAGGAACTCAATCAAGACCCATCAGTGATGTCTCCATGGCACGAGGAAACTGCTTGAGAGTTCAGCTATAGTCATACTAGAGCTCAGGATGCTGGGTGCTCAGGGACCCTGGATGCTTTCTGGCTCATAGTAGATAGCGCTGGGTGGAAGAAGGGGGTTCTAGGTCCCAGACCATAGCCCTCCCCGAAAGCGCTCATTTGTACCAAAGTGCCTCGTCACATTATTGAGAGTGTTTTATGCTATCTAAAGTTAAATGGGTTTTCATTATTTGAATATAGAATGTGGTCTCTGGTGCCATCTATGCTTTCTAAGAAGGACTGCTATCAAGTTTGATAGCTTGCAAATAAGAAAGGTTTCAGCTATCAGAGAACAAGTGTCCTGTCTCTGTCGGGAAGGCAGATTTCAGAAACATTCTACCATGGCATTTTAAAATGAAATTGCCTTAAAACAATTATTTATTGGCCCTCCCTGGTGGTGCAGCGGGTTAAAGCACAGCACTAAGAAGCTTAAGACACTTCCGTATGAGTTCGATCCCCGCCTGCCCCAGAGGAATCCACATGGCACCGCAGACCTCTCCTGACCCGCCTGCTGTTCCCCTCAGCAGTGTACTTCTTCGATCTGCCTGTTCTGCTCCCCACTCTGTCTCTGGTGAAGCTTCTCACTGCCCCTGCAACTCTGGTCTGTACCCCAGTTCTGTATGCATAAATAAATAAATCTTAAAAAAATATTTATTTATGCATACAGAGCTGGGGTACAGGCCAGAGGTGCAGGGGTGGCGAAAGGATTCACCAGAGACAGAGTGGGGAGCAGAGCAAGCAGATAAACTGAAATACACTGCTGAGGGGAGCAGCAGGCAGGAAAGTTCTGCTGTGCCATATGGATCACCTCCAGGGCCAGAGGTCAAACACACACTGAAGCTGCAGCAGTTTGCTTACAGTGCTGTGCTTTAACAACCATTGCGCCACTGGAGAGCGCCCAAAATTGCCTTTTTACAGCATGGCAAATCAAGAGCTTCTGCCTAGGGATGTAAGACTTCCCTAAAATGAAGCTGCAAATATAGATACAGAACACCCCTGTAAATAATTTTGGTATCAAGTACGATGTTATTATACTCCAGGTAGAACAGAATTTTGTAAGACTTCCCTAAAATGAAGCTGCAAATATAGATACAGAACACCCCTGTAAATAATTTTGGTATCAAGTACGATGTTATTATACTCCAGGTAGAACAGAATTTTGGTGACCACTGGTATGGGTTCTCCTGTGGTGAGGGCTTGGCTGGCCAACTCTCTGCCACTTGTGAGAATCATAGGCATGCTTTTTCCTGTTCTCCATCCCCAGATCCTCACCAGAGACTCTGTGACCACTCAAGTGGATGGAGTTGTCTATTATAGGATCTATAGCGCAGTCTCGGCTGTGGCTAATGTCAATGATGTCCACCAAGCCACATTTCTGCTGGCGCAGACCACTCTCAGAAATGTCCTAGGGACACAGACCTTGTCCCAGATTTTAGCTGGCAGAGAAGAGATCGCCCACAGCATCCAGGTAAGGAATTAGTAGCTTGCATCTTTAGTCCATTCATTTTAATTATCAGTGATCATCAAATAACTGCAGTTCAAAACACCCCAACATGCCTGAGATTCCCGTGGGTAATGTTAAGAGGGAAATTCAACCTTGATTTTTCTTAGCATCTCTTCCAGTTCTTAAGCACAAAATACCCAAGATTTTATGAGACAGTCTCAGTTCTGCATGATAACATTCCTTATCATTTATAGGAGTTTGCTGAGTCATTGTTTTCATAGTTAGTCAATGATCTGTCCTGAGGTGTCACCACCTCCCTGGCTTCTGCCAGGACCACAGAAATGCAAAGGCTCACTGGTGATATAGTAACACAAAAGCCTCTATCTACTCCCCTTGGAGGATATTACTCATCAAGTCTCACCATTTCTCATGGCATTCTTTTCTCATGGGCCCAACTCCAGGATAACCAGAAGCAGCTCCTACAGTTTGAAGCTTTTACAAAAGACAAGAACATCTTTTTTCCTTTATGCTTCTTCTGCTCTATAAAATTTACCTTCGTTTCTATTTAGATTTGGCTTCAGGGCAGAGGTTAACAGAGCAAGGCAAATAGTATGTCATTTATTGGCAAAGCCAGGACAAAGTCCAGGTCTGTCAGGGAAGCGCTCACTGGGGCCTGCTTGATTATCAGTGACAAGCAAATGTGGGTAATTTGTACAAGTCTAGAAGAATAACTAATACTTTGTTAGGGATGGTTATGGAGTGGATCCTGCTTTAAGACTTATCAAGTTTTCTTCCTGAATCCTTCCAGGATTTATCTCAATTCCAGGCAGTGCTACCTCCTGTTGCTTCCTCCAACTGTCTTACTCCAAAAGCTGTACATACAATAGAAAAAAAGAAGACTTTATGTAACAAATACAAAAAAGCATGAGAAATTTGTTTTCTGATGACCTTTTCTTTTGATCTGGAAATAGACCTTACTCGATGATGCCACGGAGCTGTGGGGAATCAGGGTGGCCCGCGTGGAAATCAAAGATGTCCGGATCCCCGTGCAGCTGCAGCGGTCCATGGCTGCCGAAGCCGAGGCCACTCGGGAAGCCAGGGCCAGGGTAAGGCAACCTCTCTGCACTGCAGGGCCAGCTGCCTAGCTTTGGGGCAGACAAGGAAGGATAGGGCCTGATTGAAAGATCAGGTTCTCATTTATTTTGATAAGAAGAAGGTTTCATTTTTCAGTTTATACTGAGTATTTCCCCCTGAATTAAAAGTTAATGAGGGCGCTCCCTGGCGGCGCAACTGGTTAGGACGCAGCACTGCAAGCTAGTCACAACTGCTTCAGTGCGACTTCAATTCCCCGCTGAGGTGGTCCACAGGGCGCAGCAGACCTCTCCTGACGTGCCTGCTGCTCCCCGCAGCAGTGTACTTTGCCACTCTGCCTGTTCTGCTCCCCACTCTGTCTCTGGTGAATCCTTTCACGGCCACTGCACCTCTGGCCTGTACCCCCAGTTCTGTATGTATAAATAAAATATAAAATAAATAAAAAAAAGGAAATGAGGACAAGTCCCCAAAAGCCTGAGGAACAGACCCTTAGGGCACTACCAGAAAACAACTGGTTATCTCCTGAACATCCTACTGGTTTATCTCTGGAGGATGTCTGGTTACCCACAAAACTGCATTTTCCAAGTTGTAATTCTAGCTATGCATGCTGACTAGCCCTTTAGTGTGTTAGAAACCTTTTCTTGAAAATATAATCTATAAGTCACTCCATAAAACAAAGTAAAATATAATTGGAGGGGTCTCCCTGCTGGTGCAAGGGTTAAGTCTCAATGCTAGCAAGCTATCACCAGCCACTGTGGCCTCATTTCCATCCCCAGCCAGGGAGCTGACCCACATGGAGCAGCAGACCTCTCCTCTCTAGCCCGCTGCTCCCCTCAGCAGTGTTTTTCAGTGGATCTGCCTGTTCTGCTACTCACTCTGCCTCTGGTGAATTCCCTCACCCCCTGCACCTCTGGCCTACACCCCAGGTATTATATGCATAAATAAATAAAATAAATCTTTTTTTGAAAAAAGAAATATACTTAGAGAAAATGTGGTACAGCGGAGTCAAAAGCCTTAGAAATTAGAATAAAATTAATGATTTCAGACAAGTCTTTTATCTTCTATAGGTCTTTTTTTCTGTTCTCAATTAAGGGGATAACATTACCTACCCTGAACGACTTGTATAATTATTTTAAGACATAAAATACATGTTTTGAAAGACTTGTAGCTTGTTTAATCATGTAAGAAGGTAAAATCTGCAACCCTTCTTACCTCTTCAGCAAGTTGTCTAAATTTTTAGGGCCAAAACGCATTTAACAGAAGACAAATTGACACATGTAAAAATGACCCCGGAAATGCTTATGCTCATTAAACAATGGTTTGATATGAGAATGAGATAAATGTAAATTTATGAGGACAAATGCACCGAAATCACACAGGGAATTATACCAGGGTTTACAAATGAAGGGGCTATTATTTCACAAAACTCCCTCATAAAAAGATTCCAATAATAAAGAATCAATCTGATACTTGTTGGAGATCCATGGAAATCCATACAACAAGGTCCCTGATTCAGTCAAGAATGGAAATCCAAGTTGAGCATATCTGGCTTCTAAACAAGTAAGAACACATGCTGTTTTGATGTCTGTGCTTCAGAAGAAATGGGTACGTCTTAGCTATCACCAAATATTCCAGAATAATTGCTACGATTTTGACTCAGTGATATAAATATATCCTACAGAAGTTATGGGAAGAATGAGTCTCTATCAAATATACTTGATCCATGATATTCCAGCAAGTTAGTTCAATTTTAAATAATAAATAAATAAATAGAAAACATAATAATGAGCAATGTAATCAATGTATGTACCTCAGGAAGCTTGGAACTTACCTTGGGTTAATAGGGTGCTAGGCAACATGAGAAGTAACTAAGCAAGGTAGGTTCCAAGTCTGGCTCCTTCCTGGGATTTATCTCAATTCAGGAAGTGATCAAGGATGCTACGTGGGGATCTCCTGAGAGACATGCACAAAACAAATACCAATTCCCAGGTCTGGCTCAGACTCAGTGAAGCAATGTCTTTGTTGGGTCCAGAAGCTGTATTTTAGAAAGTGGTGATTTTGATGTAACCAACTTGGTACCTGCTTTAAAAAAAAATTTTTTTTTTATTGTTTATGCATACAAGAGCTTGAGTGTAGGCCAGAAGTGAGAAGATTCACCAGAGACAGAGTGGGGAGCAGAACATGTGAAGCTACTGAAATACACTGCTGAGGGGAGCAGAGGGCAGGTCAGGAGACGTCTGCAGCACCATATGTGTTAGCTCCTTGGCTGAGGATCAAACTCAGGCCTCACCATGGCTGGTGACAGCTTGATAGCCTTGGTCTTTAACCCCTATGCCACCAGGAAGGACTTAGTGCATGATTTTTGACACCCTTATTCTAATATGTTAAGTGTATTGGATAAAGGGAGGAACAATGAAATGAAAGCCAGGTTAGAGTTATAAGATGCAAGCATGCCATACCCTTCGTGTTGTTGAGTCTGTTAGTTCGATAGCTCTCATGTCTGTGTAGAAAGATTTTCTGAAGTAGTAGGAGCTGATGGAGATGAGAAGACTTTGTGTATGCTCTTTGGAGTCTCACTTGTGCATCGGTGAAGGTTTCCCTCTGCTTTCACTCCTTAGCTATCTCATTGGTCTATTCTGTTAAACTCCAGCAGCTTCTAAGCAGTGGCGGGCTTGGGCATCATGGAAGTGGGGTACACTTGTGCATGGGCAGTGAGTGCCCACAGATGGCACAGCAGAGTTGCAGGCATTCTTGGGCCCTCTGAGAACTAGAAGAGCAGCAAGTACTACTTAAGAGACTGCCAAGGCTTATCAGACTGGCTCTTGCTGCTACTTGTAATTAAGAGGGCAGGCAATTTGAGAAAATTCTTATATTGTAAGAATGACACCAAGTTGGCAGCAGAATGACCTAAAAATCTCTCTTAAGATAAGTAAAAACAACAGAAAAAGGCAGACTTTGGAATTTCAGACTTTCCTGCAGCAGATGTCAAGTCCCCAAAGTGATTTGAAAGCATTACTAAGGAGGAAGTTCGAGTGTCTGTTTGGCTTAAAGACAGAGCTTTTATTTTTTGTTTGAAAATGAAATCTAGGGACTAAAAATTTATAAATTATCTCCCTGCTTCCTGCAGTCTGCTCGAATTTCTCCAATCACATTAGGATGTAAAATGCTTATCCTTGCCAAAGAAGCAACTACATGAAATGCATGTGGTGAAGCTGGAAGCTGGGAGAGAGATCACAGAGATCTCACATCAGACAGAGAACACATTAGACAGAAAGGTACATTGTAATTTCTGAATTCTTATTTCTGTTGTTTTAGGTTCTTGCTGCAGAAGGTGAAATGAATGCTTCCAAATCTCTGAAGTCTGCCTCCATGGTCCTAACTGAGTCACCCATAGCCCTCCAACTGCGTTACCTACAAACCTTGACTACTGTGGCCACAGAGAAGAATTCCACCATTGTGTTTCCTCTGCCCATGAATATACTAGAGGGCATGGGTGGTCTCAGTTACAATGACAACAAGAAGGCTCCTAACAGAGCCTGAGGGTCTCCTGCCTTAGCCAGGCTTTGCTTAGGGAGTCGCAGCTAATTCTATCTAGAACCAATTTGGCAGAGAGAAATATTGATAATTGATATTTAAACAGAGTAATGTCATAGTTGGAATAGCATTAGCAGGGAAATGTTATAGAGGCTACCAAAAAAAAAAGCAAAACATGAGGTTTGTGTACTACTTTTATGTTTAAGAACTTAAAAGACTTCCCATTGTTCTCATCACAGCAGTTGAGTAGTTGTCCCTACTTTTAGCAGGAGCTTTCTTGCAGTAAGGGGAAGAAATCTCTGACCCTGACTAAGCTACAGAATTACTTGTAAATTGTTTTTAGCAGCACTTTTGATAATCTATCAAAAAACACAGGCCTCATATTTACACTAGCTCCTTGCTTCATAATTCCAAAGTAATTATTTGGTGAATTTCCAATAATAACAGCAGCCCTCCTGCCCTCCAAAATTATGCTTGAAATAATGACTTATTTTGAGGTTAAAGACAGAAGCACGTCCAGCTGCGAACTTATCATTAACCCCAGGCAGGCTGCAATCAGCACACGGCCTCACCTGGCCTGTTGTTTGGCCTCCTGCAGAGAGTGTGGCCTAGTCTCGGCCTCTCAGCACCAAAATCTCAGGGTGGCTGAGGCACGAGGAGGGGGGGGTCTCCAGTTCCTTTATTTGCTCACAAGTGAGAATGCTTGTAAAAGGTTTGGCTGGTGGATATCACTGGGGAGCATTGTCCTGCAGACTCCATTTTCCTGTTGTAAACCCAGGAACCACAGTCATGGAGAATTCTTTGTAAACTCTAATCCTACTCTCCAGGGGGGAAAAGCTTGTTAAATATAAAGAAGCCATAGGATGTGAATATATTAAAAATTGCTTTGTTGAAGATTACTTTGTGTTTTACAAATACAGTATTGGTCTCTATTCCTTCCCTCAGAGAGCTTGGTGGGGGTAAGAAGTGAAGATGTGAACCATTAGTACTAATCCTAGCAAACTCCTCACGCCTACATTTTTTTTAATGACAACATTTGCCCAGTTGCTTAAGTGTTACTTGACATTTCTTTCTACAACTTTCTATTCATGACAACATATGGTTTGGACTCCAAAACAGCTCAGATTGTTCTTTGCCCTTCTTTTCCCAATTATCATCTCCCCTTATTATCTCTTATGCTAATAACTGTCTGATTTTTCTGTATTCATTCTCTAAAATGTCTTGTATATTGCTTTTAGCTCATAAAAACACCATCTTCAAAACATGAAACATACTGTAAAAATGTTTAAATACTATAATGAACTTTTTTTTTTTTTTGGCCTGGACTATTTACCAGTGATTTCAAATATTATATCATTTAAATCAGTATGCAACTCTCACCAGCAAGAACTGGTTATAAACAATTGTGTGTATGTGTGTATGTGTGTATACATACATAGATGTTACGTATTATCTAGTTACATATTATTATCGTTTCATATAAAATGTTCCCAATTTTCTCAGGAAAATCTTTTATTCTATAGGTTATTTGAATAATAACCCAGAGCTCTCCAAAGAGATATTTGTTTAATAGGCCTCTAAAATTTCACTTAATCTATATTTTTACACTCCCTGTTCTTTCCATGCTATTTATTTATCCAGAAAATCAGGTCATTCGGCCTCTAGAATTTCCTTGGTGTTGTTGAACATGTTTTTCTATCCCCAACCTTCCTGTAAACTGGCTCATTTGATCTGAAAGCCTAATAGTACTCTGTTGCAATTTTTGGCAAGCATTTGTGTTGGGTCACATACAGTCACAAACTTACTAAGTGTGTTGACTAAATCACAAGCATGTACATTTCTCTTTCAGTATCTCTAGTAACACCTTTGGCATTTCTTTTGCCTGGAGACATTATTCTAATGGAGTTACAGATGGTATTTTTCTAACTCACTTTTTCTATATTAGCCGAGAATCTTTCCTAAAGAAATGTTTATATCAACTCTATTGTCATTCAGCTATCAAAAGAAACTGAGTCTACTAGATGAACAATCCCTACCAGCTCAAAACACAGTAGCAGTAGCCTCGCCTATGAAGAGACTCAGGTGTTCTGATTTGTTTGACTTCTGATTCTATATCGAAGGGCTCAAGCTGGAGCCTTTAGTCCTCAAACTGCACTCGGATCCCTGCAACTCTCCACAGCACCCACCTGAGCCGTTGCGGTGACAAGCCTCAGGTGAGCCTCTCCTGGTGTGCTGCTGAGTCAAAGCTGTCGGACTCTGCTTAGAAGCTGCCAGCCGTTCCCTGTTGTGAATTGCATTGCCCGTTATTGAACGTTAACCAGCGTTCACTTAAATTTTTTCCTACAACTTTTTGCCAGACTGTTGCTCCTAGTTTGTGCCTTGACTCAATTTCCCCTGGGGATGTGCTTTTCTTTCACTGCAATTTGGTTGTGAGTATCAGAGGAGGTGGCCCGACGGCTTCACTGTGCCGCCATCTTGGAGAACTCCCTTGAGTATCTTGGGAGTTGAGTTAAAAGATTCTGACTCTTCCACTTGAGTCCACTTAATTGAGTCTCTAAGACAGATTCAATATAAAGTCAGCTTTTATTTTTTTATCTCAAATTCATACCCCTACTACCTCCCTTATTTACAGGGCCCTCACAGTCTGGCCATAATCACTATCCATTGGCCATAATAGCTCCAGTTCAAGGCATTCAGAAAACTAGGGACAGCTCAGTGTATCCGAACCAGCCAATCCCATGTCTGTTTACTCTGCCTTGACTATTTCTTGCCACAGAAACATAACAAAAGCTTTTAGCCATACTTTCTTGCATCCCCGACTCTAGACTGGCCCTATGCTTCCCTGGATGACCCCTGTGCTGTAGACCCTTGCACCACATCCTCTAGAATCTCTGAGCATAAGATGCCATCTTTCACAAGCAATTGTCTTTCTCTGTCAATCGCAAGCAATTGTTACCCTTGCCATGTCCAATGTTGAACAACCATCCTAGTCTGGGTAGATACACTTGGTTCTGAGAAGCAAATACTGGAAACTTGGGGACCCTGGTGGATTTCACAGGTCTTTAAGTAAACAAGGAGAACCAGCTAGCAGAGGGACAGCAATTTGAGGTTAGCAACAGGAAGGCAGAAAACAGCCTGACTTAACTTCACTTTCCCTACACCCAATAATAAAATCTCCATTTTAAGACACTCATGCGCCTGGGGGCCTTCTCTCAATAGAAGGAGTACTTTTCTCTAATTCTTGGCCTACAGTGTGTTCCTTGAAATAGTACCATATGTATTTTTTACAAACAGAAAATCATATATCTTTAAATTATAAATGAAATTATAAACAGATAAATGCCTCTGAGGAATCTCATGACACTTGGGTGTAACAAGTGTCCTCTTTAGAATTCAAGCCAAGTAGTTGTTGGTGTGGAGGAGCTTGGGAGCCCGATTCTCATCAGAGATGGAACCACACCAGGCAACAGCGATCATGTGTTCTGATATAACCTCCTGTATCTGACCCATTGTCTTCTGAATGTTTTCTACTCAAGAGGGAGGCCTGGGGAAATGTTTTGCACACACTCTTTTCCAAAAATTCTTCCACTTCTCCAACCCCTGCATGAATCTCTGACCAGCCATGGCTTCCTTAAATATAATTCTGGATAGGGCCCTCCCTGGTGGCGCAGCAGGTTAAAGCACAGCACTGAGAATCTAAAGCCACTTCCGCATGAGTTCGATCCCGCCTGCCCCGGAGGTGACCACATGGCGTGGCAGACCTCTCCTGACCCTCCCGCTGCTCCCCTCAGCAGTGTACTTCGTCGATCTGCCTGTTCTGTTCCCCACTCTGTCTCTGGTGAAGCCTCTCACCGCCCCTGAGCCTCTGGCCTATACCCCAGATCTGTATGCACAAATAAATAAATCTTTAAAAAAAATATATAATTCTGGATATAATCTCCATCCAACAAACTTCTCTCCACTTTTGTCACTTTGCAATTAATGAAATCAACTTTGAGAATGAAATCTTAACATTTGGAAGTGTTCTGTGTGCTGTTGGGAATAGGATTTTCAGAGATGACTGTCAAACTTCCTCTGGGGAATTTCCTGTTCAGTTGGGAGCAGGAAGGGATAAATAAATTCAGTGCAGTTTTACCTGCCTAACTCTGTTATTAGTGATTTTATTTGTTAAGATTTAATTTTATTTATGCGCCCAAGAACTGGGGTGTAGACCAGAGGTGTGTGTGGGGGGTTGGTGGTGAGAGGATTCACCAGAGACAGAGTGGGGAGCAGAACAGGCAGATCTACTGAAATACACTGCTGAGCATTTCAGTAGTGAGGCAAGCAGCCGGTAAGACAGGAGAGGTCTGCAGCACTGTGTGTGCCACTTCCCAGGCTGCAGTGACTACCAGTAACTTCACCTGTGCTAACTGCACCAGTGACATCATGCCACTAGGGAGGCCCCAATGTTCTTAGTGATTTTTTTTTTTTCCTGGGCCAGTCCACACTTTTCTGACAACACAACTATTTCTCCCCTCGATCATGGAAGGCTAAAAGAACTTTGCCACAGGAATTATTTTCCCTGCATGTCTCCTTCCTTTGTGCATTTTTTTTTTGGTATTATCCTTTAATAATTTTAAGAGGATGTCTTTATATTCCTGCTGGTATTAAAAGTTGGTGACAATAGGGCCCTCCCTGGTGGTGCAAAAGGTTGAAGTGCAGCACTATCACAAAGCTAGCTGCAACCACAGCCTGCTTCAGTGTGGTTTGATCCCCGGCCAGGGAGGTGACCCACATGACACAGTAGACCTCTGCTGTCTTACCCGCTGCTCCCTTCAGCAGTGTACTTGGTCAGACTGCCTGTTCTGCTGTCTACTCTGTCTCTGGTGAATCCTCTCACTGCCCCTGCACCTCTGGCCTGTACCCCAGTTCTGTATGCATAAATACATAAAATAAATCTTTAAAAAAAAAAAAGTTGGTGACAGAAACAGTCCATGACATGAACTTCAGAAACATCTTTGAGGATTTGTCTCCAGAGGCAAGGGAAACACAGAAGATAAACAGCTGGGATTACCTCAAGCTAAAAAGCTGCTGTAGAGCAGAAGAGACACCTCACTGACTGGGAGAAAATATTTGCACACCATATATCTGAATAGGGACTGATATTAAAAGATCTATAAAGAACTTACAATACAGTAAAAAAAATGAACAGAAGAGTTAAAAAAGGAGACACTGTTCCAAAGAAGAAATTCAAATGGCCAACAGGCACATAAAAAGAGGTTCATCACTGGGCCCTCCCTGGTGGTGCAGTGGGTTAAAGCATAGCACTAAGAAGCTAAAGTCTCTTCAGCATGAGTTCGATCCCTGTCTGCCCTGGAGGTGACTACATGGTGCACCCACTGCTCCCCTCAGCAGTGTACTTGTCAGTTGGCCTGTTCTGCTCCTCACTCTGTCTCTAGTGAACCCCTTCACTGCCCCTGCACCTCTGGTCTGTACTCCAGTTCTGTATGCATAAATAAACCTTTAAAAAAAAAGAGGTTCATCACTTATTATCAGGGAAATACAAATAAAAACCATAATTAGCATAATTAGATACCACCTCACACTTGCAGGAATGGTCCATATTAAAACATCCAGAAGCAATGGGTGCTGGAAAGGATGTGATAAAGGAACTCTCTTACACTGTTTGTGGAAATGTAAGTTGGTCCAGCCACTATGGAAAGCTGTGTGGAGTTTCCTCAAGACTAAAAATGGAGCTATCATATAACTCATTGATTCCACTGCTGGGAATCTACCCAAAGGACAGAAAAATACTAATTTAAAAGGAAACCTGCACTACTATGTTTTTTTGCAGAACTATTTATAATAAATACCCAAGACATGGTAATTTCCAAATGCCCCAAAACAGAT